ATAAGTGATAGAGCTGGGATTCTAATCAGGGTTTTGAGGTATATATAAAGTATTATGGGAGCCCAAGGCTAAAATTGATTGATTCATTGGCATATGTGATTGTGGGGGTAAACTATTAGTTCCGCTTGAGGAGTGGTAGATTTTTGGAACAGGAATTTTCTACCAAAGCAGGTGTACAAAGCCTTGGGTTGAGTCTTAAAGCATGAATTTAAATTTGCCACTAAAATTGATTGATTCATTGGCATATGTGATTGTGGGGGCTAAACTATTAGTTCCGCTTGAGGAGTGGTAGATTTTTGGAACAGGAATTTTCTACCAAAGCAGGTATACAAAGCCTTGGGTTGAGTCTTAAAGCGTGAATTTAAATTTGCCAGGGAGTGAAAAGTTCCTTGGTAAAAGGTACCAGCAAACAATATGATACCATTTCAAGGGAGAAGAGATGGTTTGTTGTTGATAAATATAGAGTCTTTAGACTATGCTGTCATAGTATTAATCTGTTAGAGTAATAATTTTCAGCTCAGAAAGGACCTTGTGTACTATTTTGAAGAGCTTGAATTTTTATATTTTAGTTAATATGAGAGTGAGTTAATTGTGTCTGCACTTTAGCAAGTATTTCCACAGTGGTTTGTAAAATAGATTAGAAAGGCTGAAGGCAGAAAGATTTGGTTCTTAGTGAGAACTAGAACCAGAGCACTAATGATTCAGAGGAAGGTAGAGCATGGAATTTATGAAGACTTTCAGAGAGAATTGATGAGAGTGACGAACCATTAGAGCTGGATGATGAAACAAGAGGAGTAATTAAGGATGATTCCAAGTTTCTTTGAAGTGTGAACCATTGCGAAACAATTCCGGAGATTAGAAAATACTGAAGGAGAGCTGAGTTTTGGTCTGTTGTATTATGGGTAGGGTGAATCACAGGTTGATTGGAAGGATGATGAACAAGAGAATGAAAAAGAATGGATTTGGCTCTGGAAGTTTGAGTTTCAGAGCTGAAGGTATTGAAGTGTGAATGTTTAGTTGGCAGTTGGAAATAATTGGACTGAAGTTAAGGTGGTGGCTAGAGATGGATTTGATAATCACTGGCTAATTTATAGAAGTAGGTTGAGGCCACGGGACTGGATTAGTCCTCTCAAGTGAAAAGTAATGAAAGTTAGAGTGGAGAGTGGTAGGGAAGACCCTCCAGTATTTTCAGGGTTACATGGAAGAAGAGGAATTGGTTGTCATAGAATTAACACATCAAGGAGATAATAATTGTAGTCTGACAAAGCCAGAAGAGATTATTTTTAAGGAAGTTGTAGGCTGATATATAGATATAGTTTATGGGCACAAATGTATTTATCTTCAATAAATTATGCTGGGAAAACTGGACAGCCATACACAGAAATAAATTAGACCCCTGTCTCTCACCATATACAAAAATCAACTCAAAGTGGCTGAAAGATTTTAGTCTTTCAAAACTAGACCCAAAACTATAAAACCACTAGAAGAAAATATTGGGAAAATGCTTCAGGACATTGGTGTAGGCAAAGATATTATGAATAATACTTCAAAAATGCAAAAAGCAAACAAAAAGGCAACAAAAGCAAAAATAGACAATAGAATATCAAACTAAAATCCTTCACAGCAAAGGAAACAATGGAGTGAAGATACAACTTTTAGAATGGGATAAAATATTTGCAAACTATCTTACCAGGGATTCATATCCAGAATATATAAGGAACTCAACAGTAAAAACAAAAATAATGTGATTTAAAAATGATCAAAGGATCTGAACAGACGTTTCTCAAAACAAGATGCACAAATGACCATCAAGTATATGAAAATATGTTCAGCATCACTAATCACCAGGGAAATGCAAACCAAAACCACAGTAAGATGACATCTCGTCTTAGTTAGAATGGCTGTTACCAGAAAGACAAAAAAATAACATGCTGGTGAGGATTCAGAGGAAAGAGAATTCTTATAAACTGTTGGTGGGAATTTAAATTATAGTCACCAGGAGAAACAGTATCAAGGTTCCTCCAAGAACTAAAAACAAAACTATCACATGATCCAGCAATCCCACTACTGGGTATTTATCTAAAGGAAAATAAATCATTATATCAAAGTAGTGTTAATATCTGCACTCCCATGTTTGTTGCAGAACCATTCATAATAGCCAAGATATAGCATCAACCTAAGTGTCCACCAGTAGATGAATGGATAATGAAAATGAAAATGTGGTAAATATACACAATGGATACTGCTTCAGCCATAAAACACGATGAAATCCTGTCATTTGTGGCAACATGGATGAGACTGAAGGACATTATGTAAAGTGAAATAAGTCAGGTACAGAAAAGTAAATACTGCATGTTCTCATATCCACAATAAGTAATAGCTTAAAAAGTTGAGCTCATAAAGGTAGAGAGTAGAATTGTGGGTATTTAGGCTGGGAAAGGTAGGGGAAAGGTGAGGATAGGGAGTGGTTGGGTAACAGGTACAAAATTATAGCAGGAATAAGTTATCCTGTTCTATAGTACTATAGGGTGGCTATAATTAATAACTTACTGTATATTTTCAATTAGCTATAAGAGAGGATTTTTGAATGTTACCAACAGACATAAAATGATAAATGTTTGAGGTGAACAGATATGCTAATTACCCTGATTTGATCATTACACCTTGTATACATGTATGGAAATATCACTGTCCCATAAATAAGCACAATTGTATGTCAATTAAAAATTTAAAAATTTTTAAGAACATGGAAACTAGGTGTAGTGACATATGCCTATAGTCCCAGCTACTTGAGAGGCCAAGGTGGTAGGATCTCTTGAGCTCAAGAGTTTGTGGCCAACCTGGGCAACATAATGAGACCCTATCTCTTTCAAAAAGAAGAAGAATATGGAATCCTGAAAGTATTTAACCAGCACTTAGAATGAGATTAGTATAACTAGAGTGATACATATTCTCCTGTGAGGTGGGAAAGGGTTTTCTGGTTCTTCTATTATTTAAATGATTACCAAACTCTTAGATGATTCTTGAAGTCCCACAAGAAAACTTATGATTTCTAACTATATATATTTTTTTCTATACCATGTGGAAAAATTGGGGATGTTAAATAACTGAAGATGTGTATCTCAATTACCTATTTTCAACTTTTGCACCTTTTAAAAGATAATTTTTCTTTCATGCTAGGTTTTGGACATAGAGTAAATTCCTTTGGTATGCTTGGTAACCAATTCTTTTAACTTAGAAAAACTGTACTTTTGTCTTCTGTCCTACACCTCTGAAAATCTATTCAAAATAGTTAAAAATTAGATAAAATGAGTTTGACTTTGGGCCTTTTGTAATATAACAAAGAAGAAAATTATAAGATCACCTGTTTTGAAATTCTAGTTTCTTTTCACTGTCACTTCTTCAGAAAAATTGTCTCCATCCTCGCAGGCATGGTGGCTCACACCTGTAATCCCAGTACTTTGGTAGGCTGAGGGGGATAGTTCACCTGAGGTCAAGAGTTTGAGACCAGCCTGGCTAACATAGCGAAACCCCGTCTCTACTAAAAATACAAAAATTAACCAGGTCTGCTGGTGTGCGCCTGTAATCTCAGCTACTTGGGAGGCTGAGGCAGGAGAATTGCTTGAACCTGGGAGGCGGAGGTTGCAATGAGCCGAAATCATGCCATTGCACTTCAGCCTGGGTGACAGAGCAAAACTCTTTCTCAAAACAAAAACAGAGATTTTCTTCATCCCTTTTGTCTAAATTAAGTCTCATTTGTTTGTTTTTTGAGACAGAGTCTCACTCTGTTAGGCTGGCTGGAGGGCAGTGGTGTAATCATAGTATCCTTGAACTCCTGGACTCAGACTATCCTCCCACCTCCGCTTCTCAAGTAGACTGGAACTGCAGATGCGTACCACCACACCCATCTTTTTGAGTGTTGTTTTGGTCTTTTTGTTTTAAAAGACAGTGCCTCTCTATTGTTGCCCATGGTGATCTTGAACTCCTGGGCTCAAGGCCTATCTTGGCCTCCCAAAGTGCTGGGATTACAAGCATGAGCCACAACACTAAGTTTGTTACCCTTTCTCATAGCACTTTATTTTCTTTCAAATGAGTCATAATTATTTCAGATTATTCATATATAGTATATTATTTCAGTATTCATTTTGTTTAATTTCTCCGCTTGTACTAGACTGTGAGCCCCATACACAGGAACCATGTTGGTTTTCAGCACTACTGTATTTTCATGTCCTAGTGCAGTGAGTACTTAGCATTCAGTAAAGACTGAGTGAATGATTGAATGAATGAATGGTGACTGTCTTTAGTATTTTGTAGAAGTGCAGGATACTATCAATTAAGCAGCCGTTGTCTAGTGTGAGGATGAGGAAATGTTTCTTAGAGGGCTTGAAATTGAAAATGAGTAAGAAGTGGGTATGGTGTTCAGTATCAGGTTTTCCTTAGAGGGCAAGTAGGATGAATATAGAAAATTTTCCTTTGAATTTGGAAATGTGGAAATTATTCATGACCTTAATGGGGTCAGTTTTAGTAGAGTGAAGGAATGCAATTCAGATTCCATTTGCTTATGAAATGAATTAGCAAGAAAACAGAGTAAGGAGTTTTTCCCAGAAACGTAGATCTTAGACACGAGATCTACAGTTAGACAAAAAGCAAAAGTGCACAAAAATAGTACACTTTAACACAAAGTGTTAAAAATAGTACTGTAGTAGAGGCTACCAGGAGGACCTTGTTAGTTGTCTTCTACAAGTTTAGCTGCCCCCTTTATCTTTCGCATGGAAATATTAAATGAGTAAGAAAGGGTGAAAAGGTACTTTAGATTGGTTTACAACTTCCACCTAAATCATCAGTCCTCTTATTTTGCAAGAAATTAGAGTACTGAGAAAATCATGGTAGATTATTCACAGTGTGCCAGAAACCCTGCCTGCCTCCTTTCCATGTGCTTTTTGTAAAGTATCTTAATTTCTGTGAATTTTGTCACTTACTTGTATTTTTTTAACTTTCAGGTGTTGGTAAATCATGCTTATTGCTACAGTTTACAGACAAGAGGTTTCAGCCAGTGCATGACCTTACTATTGGTAAGTTTTATAAAAAGGTTGAGAAGCATTAAAAGTTTTGGATAGTTTAAGTGGAAAATGCTAGAAAGTCCATTCTGTTAGTGATGATGCTAAAATCAGTGAAACTGGATTTATTGTTATGTAGTTTAGTCTGTCACTTTTTTGGGGGGAGAGGAGGGGAGTCGGAGTCTTGCTCTGTCACACAGACTAGAGTGCAGTGGCACAATCTCTCACTGCAACCTCCGCCTCTCAGGTTCAAGTGATTATCCTGCCTCAGCTTCCCAAGTAGCTGGGATTACAGGGACCCGCCACCACATGCCCAGCAATTTTTGTATTTTTAGTAGAGGTGGGGTTTCACCATGTTGGCCAGGCTGGTCTCAAACTCCTGACCTTGCGATCCGCTTCCCAAAGTGCTGGGATTACAGGCGTGAGCCACCGTGCCTGGCCGTCTCTGTCACTTTATAAAACATAATGTGTAGTAAAAATAAATATTACCCAACTTTGTAAAATGGGTAGCATGCTGAAAGACCTTAGTTTTTACTATTTCAGTTGTAATTAACAATGAAACAATCAAGAGACAGTATCCCATCCCTGCAAGAGCAGAAACTTTGAATCAGCTTTGGAAGTTGAATCAAGTCTCTGCTACTAACTTGCTGTGCAAGCCACTTCCCCATTTCATGTCTCAGTTTCTCTTTCTGTTTAGTGAGAATAGTAGTAGTACCAATCACATGAAGTTATTGTGAGCAGTAAGTGAGTTAATAAATGTAAAGCGTTAAAGTGCCTGGCAATGTGGAAAGTGCTCTAGACTTTCATAATTATTAACTGAGAAAAAGTACCACTGGGAATTTTATATTTTCTTCAGTTGTAAAGAGTAAATGAAATAGTTACTGGTAAGAAATAGTCAAGAAATATTATCTGCTGTTATTTAAAATGGTGATACTGTGACATGTTAAAAGCCCCATAAACTGCATACCTCTGTAACCCTAAGGTGAGCAAGCAGTCCAAACCCACGCCATCTTGGCCCCTGCAACTTGTAGTAAGTAACTTAAGGTCTGTAATTTCCACCCTCCCCAGGCAATGTGTAAACTAACGCTTATCTTGACTTCTGTGAACCACTTAAATAACAATCGGAATGTCCAAAGTCCCCTGGCCCTCGGAAATACCTGAAGCCCTTCACCCTCACCCCCTGCCCAGGAGGTGGTTTACAGAATGTCCGGAGTCCACTGGCCCTTGGAATGTCCAAAGCCCCTCACCCCACCCCTACCCAGGAGGTGGTTTACGAGGTCTTTACACCCTCCTTTCGGGGCCACCAGTTGGAGAGACGTGAGTCCTCCGCGGCCGCCGGCAATAAAGACCCTGCAATTTGGTATACTTTTGTCCTGGTGTTGATTTTCTATGCTCGCTCTGGTACAACAATATGTCCATTTTATTAATATGCAGAGGAAAAAATTAAGATGACTGAAAAGCTAAAAACTTTAGGTAATCTTACTATTTAGGGTTCTTGTTTAAAAATTATATTTATATTCTGAAAGCTGAAGAATCTAGCCAGATTATTCTTCTGTGGCTATAGCTGATAAACAACTAGAAATTAGTCCAATATAAAGAAAAAAAGATAATTGGAAATCTAGTCATTCTTTACAACAAATTGTTTAATGAATCTTTTTAGACACTAACTGCTTATTTTCTGTTGACATTATTAACTTACCATTTGTAGCATGTTGATCCTTATGCCCTGTGTGTTTTTAAAATACCAAATCAAAGATAGAGCTCATGAATCAAATTATTAATAGTTTTCAACCAAGCTATAGGTATAATACTTTGTGGATATATTGAAATCTTTTGTTAGCAACTACTGTCATTAAGACTATCCATTTTCTGTTCTAATTTTGATAGTTTTAAGGTATACAATAATTATGGGTAAAACAGGTAATATCGTTTAATGCTGGTCCTGATAACTTTAACATTTTCTTTTGTTTTTTGAGATAGGGTCTCATTTTGTAGACTAGGATAGAGTGCAGTGCTACAATCCCTGCTCACTGTAGCCACAAAATCTGTCCCACGTGATCTTCCCACCTCAGCCTCCCAGGTAGCTGGGTCTACAGGCGTGCGCTACCACACCTGGCTAATTTTTTGTATTTTTGGTAGAGACAGGGTTTTGCCATGTTGCCCAGGCTGGTCTCAAACTCCTGGGCTCAGGCAATCTACCGGCCTTGGCCTCCCAAAGTGCTGGGATTACAGGTGTTAGCCACTGTGCGCGCCTGTTTAACTTTAATGAGCTCTCTTCCCTGCCCCTCCATCGGATTTGCTCTTTGCTTAATAGGTTTGAAATTAGTCAACTTTTTAGGCATGACTCAGTTCTAAGACAACTAGCAAAACAGTTGTTTTCAGTATAGAATACTAAACAACAGTGTTCTTCCTTTTCCTTGAGTCTTGCGTGTAAATAAGTTAGTATGGCACACCAAGTGGAGAGGATGGACCTGAGCCTGCTGTCGGAAGCTGGCATAGGCCAAGCTTGTCCAACCCACGGCCTGCATGCAGCCCAGGACAGTTTAGAATGAGGCCCAACACAAATTTGTAAATTTTCTTAAAACATTATGAGATTTTGTTTTCTTTCTTTTTTAAAAAAAAATCTCATCAACTGTCAGTGTTAGTGTATTTTATGTGTTGCCCAAGACAGTTCCACTTCTTCCAATGTTGCCCAGAGAAGCCAAAAGATCAGACACCTCTGCTATAGGCTATACTTGTGGGGAGAGATGAAGGAGTAGACCTGAGAGTTGTTTGGAAAACTGTAACTCATGTAAACTACCAGCTGGCTTCACACTAGGTTTGCTAATGGTGGGCACCGGCAAATAAGGAGGCTGAAAGAGAAGAAAAGCCAAGGATCTTTTTCTCTTCGGGTTTACTGTGTGTTCTCCATTCCTCTGGCTCCAGCCCTTGCCTGGCAGGCCCAAGTGGTCTGGTTCCTGAGCTCTGATAACCTGTTTCTCTCTTGTCTTTCCAGCCTAGGGGTGGTAGCAGCTTCCTGCTATTTGTAATCTCTGGGTTTATTCCCCATCTCCTTTGGGTTTTGGGGGGCTCTTTCTTTACTGTAACCAAGTCCCTACATTTAATTCCCTATGTGCTGTGTACTTAAGTGTGGCTTCTCTTTTTCTGATTACACTGACTGGCATACCATTTTTTTTCTTTCTAACTTTTACAGTTGGTTGTAAATGACAAAAATCTACCGAGATGAGTTTAAATAAAAGGACAATTTATTATTTTAATATTCAGGTGTGTCTCAGAACCTGAGGGCAGGGAGCCAGCTGGGTCAGCCTGGAACCAGAGCTTAGAGCTCTTAAGGAGGGCACACAGGAAGTTCTGTTTCTCAGTCTCCCATTCTTCGCTCATTGTCTCCCATTCTCTTCTAATGCCTGTTTCATTTTTCTCTCTGCCTGTTGACCATTGTTTTTTATTTCCATATCTCCATGATGGGAAATGGCCATTGTCAATAGTTCCAAAGTTCATTACCATTCAGGAGAGCAGAGATTCTCTTTAACTCAATTCAGAGTTTCCTACGCAGGAGAGTTTATGGGCTCAGCTTGGTTCAGGCCCACTTATCTCTTGTTCTGTCCACACTGTTCATGGGCCCCAAATCACTTTTGTACAACATGGTTTCCAAATTGGTAGTTGTAGGGAGCACTCTGGGTGAGTACTCTATGTAGCCATCACCAGAATTTCCTCACACCTAGGTATTTTAGCCAGTCATCATGTCCTTATCTTCTGTCTCCTGTAATGATGCATTCTCTACTGTTTATAAACCACTGACTCCTGAGCTCATAATTCTTCTCAGCCTGCCTCTCTTGCTTTCTCTTCTACTTTTCCCTAACACTTATGGACTCTACATGCCATCAGGTCTTTGCTGTGTGCTGCTCCCGGAACACTTAGTACCTTTTCACATCCTCAGTCTTTCTTTTCTCAGAGGATGTTATTGCTTGATACCTCTGCTTATTACAGTTCTTTTCTGAACAACTATCCATATCCCAAACTTATAGCCCCCATTTAAAAGAAGTGAGATTTGATACCCACACTTGTGGAGAAATGTTGTTAACAAGAAAGGAACAACAATAAAAAATGCTGAAAAACAGCCAGGTGTGGTGGCTCATGCCTGTAATCCCAACACTTTGGGAGGCCGACGCAGGCAGATCACGAGGTCAAGAGATCAAGACCATTCTGGCCAACACGGTGAAACCCTGTCTCTACTAAAAATACAAAAATTAGCTGGGCATGGTGGCGCGCACCTGTAGTCCCAGCTACTCGGGAGGCTGAGGCTGGAGAATCACCTGAACCCGGGAGTTAGAGGTTGCAGTAAGCCGAGATCGCACCACTGCACTCCAGGCTTGGTGACAGCATGAGACTCCGTCTCAAAAACAAAACAAAACTGAAAAACAGACAATGTGGAGTATCTGTATAGGCACAGAGTTTCAACATAATGCTCAGCACCAGTATGGATTCCTAGTAGCTCATGCATTAGAACTTCATTCCTCATAATCAGGATCAGTCCTAAAAAGACAAAGTAAATTTTATGGAGGATAAATGTAGGAAGCCCTGCCTTTTTACCTGCTGTGTGTTAAGGGAAACTATATAAATAGTTTTTATTTATATAGTTTCCCATTTATATAGTTTCCAGTGTACATTTATAAATAGATTGTTTTTTGTTGGGGTCATAGTCCAACCATGGCTTATGGTTGGACTATGTATGTCCAACAGCCTGTTATTGTAGAATAAAGATGGTAGCTATCATAAACTATTTTTTTAATTGAAATTTTATTTTAGATCTAGAAAATGAATGTAAATGTACTCTGTACATTAACTATGCAGAGTCAATATTTAAGATTGTTCAGGATATTTGAGTTAATGAAACTTTAAAAAAAAATACATTTATCTGAAGCAAACAGTGATTACCTGCTTCTGACAGGTGGCCCTTTCTCACAGGGGCTGTCATCGTTAAGTCATGTGGGTAGTTTAGACATTCTAGTGCATAATAGGGAATAATAATTATACCTGACATATTAAATACTGAGTGCCAGCTACTATTCTATTTTATATGTATTCATCCTTTTAATCTTAAAAGAAAATCTCATGAGATAGGTATTATGAATACCATTTTACAGATGAGAAAAGATAGGTATTATGAATACCATTTTACAGATGAGAAAACTAAGACAAAGAAGGGGCTTAACTTGCCCAGGATCACAGAACCTAGTAAATGTCGATTATGAATGCTCAGTAAGGGCCGGGCGCGGTGGCTCAAGCCTGTAATCCCAGCACTGTGGGAGGCCGAGGCGGGTGGATCACGAGGTCAAGAGAGCGGGACCACCCTGGTCAACATGGTGAAACCCCGTCTCTACTAAAAATACAAAAAATTAGCTGGGCATGGTGGCGCATGCCTGTAATCCCAGCGACTCAGGAGGCTGAGGCGGGAGAATTGCCTGAACCCGGAAGGCAGAGGTTGCGGTGAGCCGAGATCGCGCCATTACACTCCAGTCTGGGTAACAAGAGCGAAACTCCGTCTCAAAAAAAAAAAAAGAATGCTTAGTAAATGACACAAGGATGATAATGATCTAGAGACAATTGGAATGTGTACCTATTCAGAGTATTTGATTCTGGAAGGCTGGAAGTGAATAACATCTCTGAAAAAATAAGCATCACTCTCTGAAAATGGCAGGTAAATGACATCTTGACTTTGACTCCACAGAAATTTATCTGGCAGCCAAATTGGCTGTTAATTGAAAATGGGTCTGGGAAGAGAGCCTCAAAGGCAGGGAGTAACAATTTATCACATATAAAAAAGAGAAGGAAACCTTTCTAAATGGGCTTAAGCATGTATACATCTAAGGAAAAGGATTTTAAAATGTTAATATTCCAGAAGAGAAATCAAGTTTTTGGTTTCTGTGTTTGTTTCTGAAGCTTCCAAGAGACTAGGACTCAGTATTTTCATCCATATAGAATTAAAGGGTAAAACCTACATTGGACCCATATGTGAGAAGGTAATTGGGAAAGAGTTATATTTCTGAAGCTGAAATTAAAGTGTGTTTGTTTTTGTTTCATTGGATAGGAAAACAAAAATCATAGTTTTTCAGTAATCAACAACACTTGTCAATTTTTCCTTTTAAGAAGTGTATTTCTTTTCCTACCACCATTTTTTAATCTCATGCCTAAATATAGTACAATAGGCTTTTAACTGGTCTCTATGCTTCTTGTTTTTTTCTTTTTTTAAATTATTCATCCTGACCTGGTTGATAAGTTAAAATGTCTATTCTGTTATGACACTTCCCTGGTTTAGAAACATTCTTGATTTTCACTTAACAGATTTATTTCAAATTGGATGTATTTTTAGAGACAAAATTTTTGTTTAAAGATTTTAAGCTTCACGATCTCTATCTGCTTACTTCATTTATTGTTTTGTTTTTTGAGACAAGGTCTCACGCCACCCGATCATGGCTCACTGCAGCCTCAAGTTCCCGGGCTCAAGTGATCCTTCCCCTCTTCAGCCTCTCAAGCATCTGGGTCCACAGGCACATGCCACTATGCCTGGCTGATTTTTTAATTTTTCATAGAGATTGGATCTCCCTATGTTGCCCAGGCTAGCCTCAAACTCCTGGGCTCAAGCAATCCTCCTATCTCAGCCTCTCAAAGTGTGGGATTATAGACAACACTGCACCACTGGGCCCAGCTGATCTGCTTAATTTGAATAAAGAGATGAACATACTAAAACCCAATTCTAGCTAAATTAAAGCAAAGGGAATATTCTGTATCTGTAGTTGTATATGGAACCTACAGGAGGTTGGAGACTTGGAATTGGGCAGGAACAAAGCATCTTGGAGGCCAGAAAGCAGAAACTGTTAAGGGTCACCTTGCAGCAGGGGCAGTGTGCTAGCTTCACATCTGCTCAGATGGAGTGGTCACAGGTCAATTTCTGTATCTTTAGCCCTCTGCTCAAGATATCAGTTCCAGAGAGGCAGCATCTGCTTACTGTTGCTAGTCTTGCCTTCCTTACTTGCCCACCATTGGTGTCAGGAGCATTCATGGATCTGTTTCTAGTTAGGAGTTGTTTTTTGTTAATTTTGACATTATGAGCAAAGTAGATAGTTTAGGATTGTGCTTAAAAGCCAGCCCATCCTTGACAATGGAAGGAAAAATAATTTTTTTTCTCTCTCGTTTCTAGGTAGAAACAATAGATTCATGAGAAGGCCTCTAGTCTGTCAGATACCTTGTTGACATGTAGAATTTTGTGCTTCAGTACACTCCTTTTCAGTACTGAGTATTTCAAAGAACATCTGTACCATACTTAGCAACTGGTTTCTTCCCTCAACTAATTTCATTTTTCATGTCATTAATGGATTTTCTGTGTATCCCCACCCTATGGCACAGAACAGATATGAATATATATACATATAGCTATGTTATAAATCTGTATGCATATGTAGATGAATATATATGTAAACACTGTAATGGTTTTATGTGGCATAATGTTACAATTTTTCATTTTTCAGTCTGATACATCATGACTCCTGGTTCTCTTTTCTCTAGCTTTCCTGTATTTCTAAGCCTGAGAAACGTGAACATCATCTTAGTTTCTTGGTATTCATTAGGCCTGTGGGACGGAATAAGTAGCATAAAACCCCATCAGGTTTTATATCATAGGACAAATTACCTTTGTTTTTCACCCTCCTAATCACAGTTGGGGAGTTATGGGAGATGCTAAACTGGAATTCTAACATCGGGCAGTGTGCTCTTCCCTGGAAAACTAGAAGTTGTTTTTCTGCCAGGATGACATTTGGTTTTTGGTGACCATATGTGTCTTTCCTTCACCCTGACTCTGGTCTAAATACTGATTGAACACACTCTAGGCAGTAATTATTTGTTATAAGAGATACACTACTTTCAGAGTTGTCTTTAGAGCTGTTTGCTCTTCTAAAATTATTCCCTATTTTTCTACTACTGTTTTGATGATTGAATGAGTACTTTCCAAAGATGACAAGTGCAAATTAAAAGCCAAAGTAGTAAACTTGTAAGTGTAAAGTCTGTATTCCCTTTGCAATCCTATTTCCCCTTGCAATCCTATTTCCCCTTGCAATCCTATTTCCCCTTGCAATCCTATTTCTTGTAAATTGCCTAAAATCATAGTAAGTTGAAAAATGTGTGCAGAAAGTTCATTTCAGCATTCACTATTTAGTGAAAATGTGAGAACAACCTAAATCTGTAGGAATAAAATAACAATTTAGTAAATTATCTATACACAAAAGGATATTATGCAAACATCAAAAATAATGGTGTATTTTTATGTTTATTGATTTACAAGGATGTTTGTGATACGGAATAATGTCTGTGATATATTATTAAATCAAAAGCAACTGTGGCCTGGTACGGCGGCTCTCACCTGTAATCCCAGCACTTTGGGAGGCCAAGGCAGGTGGATCACCTGAGGTCAGGAGTTCAAGACCAGCCTGGTCAATATCTCTACTAAAAATAGAGAAATAGTGAAACCCTATCTCTACTAAAAATACAAAAATTAGCTGGATGTGGTGGTGGGCACCTGTAATCCCAGCTACTGGGGAGACTGAGACAGGAGAATCGCTTGAACCTGGAGGCGAAAGTTGCAGTGAGCCAAGATCACACCATTGCACTCCAGCCTGGATGGCAGAACGAGACTCTTGTCTTTAAAAAAAAAAAAAAAAAAAGGCAAATTGCAGAGCAGCATTTATATGTTCCCATGCAGAATTGTATACTTATTTCTACATGTGTATTTATTCATGGAGCACTTTCTGGGAAGTATATTAAAACATTGGATATAGCTAATGGCAGATTTGGAGATTTCTTTCCTTGCTAATTATTCATGCTGGCACAATACTATGATATTGAAATATACCTATCCCTTTTAGTGATTTTTATACCATATGAATGTAATTTTTAAGAAATTTTAATATTTAACATTTGTGATTAATAATTATGACTCTTGGATCTCTTATTTAGTTTTTATGTTACTGAGCCTGCGAAACATGAAGACCACAGTTGGTTTCTTCTTATTGACTCTGCCAGACTTTAGAATCTTAGTATTTTAATTATGTTCTTAGGTATGACTTATTAGCACCTCTTCCTTAGCTTATATATTTTCTGAGAGTAGGCACTGCATTTGTTAAAGTCAATCTGTATATCACCTAGCATATCATGTCTTGAAAGTAAACATTCTGTTTTTAATTCTTGAATGTGAGCTATGTTCTCACTAATTTTGTAACAAATCATTTTCTACTCTGTTTAGGTGTAGAGTTCGGTGCTCGAATGATAACTATTGATGGAAAACAGATAAAACTTCAGATATGGGATACGGTAAGTATAGGAAGAATGCACTCTATGATCTCAGTAAAGTTGCTTTATAAAGGTACATTGTACGTTTGTTTTGTTTTAATGTTATTATATGCCTGTTATGGTTTGTTAGACACTAACCTGCAGCCATGATATGAAATGCGCTGGAGAAGATTGGTTTTTCTTATGCACTGTTTTCAATAGATGGGCCCCGGGTGTTGGTGTTAGTGAGCATATCTGAGTGGATGCTTACGTTATGTGGTATTAAATGAAATGCTCTAGAAACTGTGTTTTTAAGAAAAACAATCAGCATGTCTCAAGAACACATAAAAAGTAAAATAAGAATATCAATATTATATAATAACTTATTCTGAAAGCTTATTATTGTACAAGTTTTAGTCCTAACCACTTGAAGTCGTGTTGCTCTTAATCCAGTATCCTAATTCTGTCATTTACCCTTATTTATTGAGTACCAATTACATGCCATACAATACTGTTTTTAATGGTGGTTTCTCATCTGAACCACGGTATACAGAAAATGATTTGAGTGACTATTTTCTCTATTCTCCCATCCTAGATGCATAAAAGTGAAGTTACTATATACATTGGGTGCTTTAAGGTAGCAATTTTCAAACCATTTTGTTTCAGAACTGCTTTATACTTTTAAAAATTAATGAAAACCCCCAAAGAGCTTTAGCTTATGTGGCTTGAAGGTATTAATATCTACCATCTTAGAAATGCAAATGAGAAACTTATCAAATATTCAATCATTAATTCATTTTAAATTAATAAATTTATTGTTAGGGTAACCAATACAATTGTAATGGAGTTAAACTGTATTTTTCAAAAAAAAAAAAAAAAAAAAAACTATATTTTTCTGGTAAGACTAGTGATATCTGTCTGCCTAATAGAAGACGCTGGATTCTCGTATCTGGTTCTTCACTGAGTTTTACGTATGTTGTTTTGTTGAACTATATGAAGAAAATCCAGCCTCACACAAATAGGCAGTTGGGAAATGGAACACCATATGGACCCTTAAAGAGTCTGAGGAATCCCCAAGGTCCTGGGATCACACTTTGAGAACCACTGCTTCAGGACATTAGGAGATAATTCTTCACAGAACCCCAATTGAGAAAACCTGGAAGGGTCTTCTGTGTTTCAAAGATCATTTTCTCTAAACTAGTAAAGGAGATATAAAATACATGGGATAACCTTAAATCATCATACACCCATGGCCTATTTTTCTCAAATCACTCAGTTTGTTTCTCACTTGTCATGTATAGTAGCCATTGAAAGAAGAAACCTTAGAGAACATCCAGTCTGTGAAGACCCCCTAGACTAAGCAAGTTGCTGAAGGCTCTTGCGGGACCTGGGTTTCCTGATACTTCCTGTGTGTCACAGTTGTCCCTTAAATAATAACCCTACATTTCTATCTGGTCCTGTCCTTGAATTGTCCACTTGACTCTGGGTTCTTGTACTTTTTTGCCTCCTCTTCCTCAGTGAAGATTAATACTTTCACTATTCCTTAGCGGGTTTCCCACGGGAGCCTCAAGCATCTCAAAACTTTTGATTTGCATTCTCTCAGGCAACATCTCAAAACTGCACGGAAAAGATCAAAATAAAATACACAAAGTCCCTTTTTTCCTAGAGGTTTAAAATTAATAATCTCCAACCAAAAGGAAATATTTTCTGCTTCTATATTAAAAGAGTTTCTCTCTTCTTGTTTTTGAGACAGGGTCGCACTCTGTAACTCAGGCTGTAGTACAGTGGCAACAATCAGCTCATTGCAGCCTCAAACTCCTGGGCTCAAGCAATCCTCTCACCTCAGTCTCCTGAATAGCTGGTACTATAGGCGTTCACCACCACACCCAGCTGTTTCTTTTTTTCAGAACTGATTTACATAAACTATGTTACTTGTTTTAGCTTATAACCTTGTGTAACATACACCTTTCCATTGTGTAGTGTGAACCAGACTACTTGTTGTTCCTCAGTAAACATATTTCATTCTTTATACTGTTGTATAAGTACTTGCATTGCTTGAAGTGCCTTTTTGTTTGCTTTTCCATTGAAAGCAGCTAAGATGTCAGCTCTTTTGTGAAGACTTTTTTGATCCCCATGGGAATAACTTACTCTTCCTGTAATATTTTGTGCATATCCCTGTTGTTACTCTGATCCTATTGTCATAGCTTTTTGTTCTCATATCTCCCGTTCTCAGAGTAAGCGTTAGGAGAGGAGGAACCACCTATATCTTATGCAGCTTTGTATCCTGTATTCTTAGCTTGGTGACTGATACATACAGTGTTTGGTAAATTTTACTTAATGAGTGAATAGAGAATCTCATTCTGTCTAAGCAGCTTATAGGGTCACTGGCTCTGTTCAGGAGACATCATCTACTGAAGTACATGGTTTTGGAAAGGAAAGATTAATACAGTAATGATAATTATGTGATATTTTAGGCATAAACCACTTCATTGTCTTGAGGTTATTTTAGTTTATTCACTTGTTCTTCTATTCTTAAAGTAGTCCCTTTGTTTTTTGAAACTTGAGTAAGCCATTCATTTCCTAGTTGTCTCTTTTGTAGATTAATTCATCATGCATTCTTTTGATAGAAGCCTGGTTTTTTGTTTTTGTTTTTTTAGCTTGAGTTGATTTCTTTACACAACAATAAACTTTCAAAATAAATCTATAATAATTTCTTATGCTGGACAGTATGAGAAAGGAATAGAAAAAAAAACCCTTTTTTGTGTTCCTCTAGGAGAGCATAGGGCTCATTTGAGACTGTGGTCCCTTTAAAGACATCATAATGCCCAAGAATTCAAGCACTTCTACAAGGAGAGCTCCAGGAACCAATGGTCTGTTCCAGATTTAAAGGACTGTTTTAAAAAGTGTAACTTATTTCTTTTGGAGGTTGTTTCTTGAGTCTTGGTCTTATAGTTTTCCTTTTTGTTATTTTTTGTTTTGGTTTGGTTTGGTTTGGTTTTGAAACAGTGTCTTTCTTACTCTGTCGCCCAGGCTTGAGTGTAGTGGCACAATCGTGGCTTACTGCAGCCTCAAATGCCTGGCCTCAAGCGATCCGCCCACCCCAGCCTCTTGAGTGGCGGGGACTACACGTGCAGGGCACCATGTGCAGCTAATTTTTTTAATTTTTTGTAGAGATGGCGTCTCCCTGTGTTTCTGGTCAGGCTTTTCTCTTATTTTCATTGACTTTCTTTTTACTTCATACCCAACCTCCAAAACTTTATAATAAATGTAATCTGATACACATTAAGGCTGGTCTCACACTTAGCTTATATCTGAGTGAAACAGGATTTTCCGTACCATTAATGTTTTACAGTGTGTCTATACATTTGGATAGCCAGTTACATTTTTTATAGCAAGGGTTTTGTCTATTCGTGACCCAGAATGTTTACAAAACCATCCTAGAGTCCTTCAGGGGAAAATTAGTAAAATATTATTTGTTTCATCAGCCTTATAGAAATGAAATTTTCCCTTCAAGGGAAAACTTGTCTCAGTATCTTAGCACATTTGTCATTTTTATCTTCAAAAATTTAAAATGAGTTTTCCTTGCAAAATTTTTACATCCAACACCCTTGATTTCTTTTGCAAATAGTGAGGATAGCTGCCAGCAGATACTCCTTGGAGGCCTTAAGGCCATCAATCAGTATCACAGCTGGAAGCAATGATAAGAGTCTATCAGGGCCTCCCGTTAAGGACTGACACTTGGCCCTGTACTGAGGTACTTTTTTTTTCATTTATTAAAAGCCAAACCTGTAAATATTATTATTCTGGCAGGGGAAGTAAAAGAAGAAACATACGCTGCCCCTGGTTTCTGTTTATTGGCAGAAGAAGGGCAGAAGTGTGTTCTCACTGTTAGACCTTGGCCTGCCATTACCGCCTTGCTCTGCTCGTGCTTTTTCTCTTTTTCTCTGGCCTTCTGTCACTCTTCCAGCATATCCAAATATGTTTGATTTCCCAGCCACTCCAAAAAAGTTTGTAATATGGATATTCTAGTTAAGTTCATGTATCTACTCAGCTTCCCTAGAAATATTCTATTTTTAGATGTCTTTTATCAAGTGAAAGTTAGTGAAATTTTGACAAAATTATGTGAAAACTAACATGCTAAGTTTCTTCTCAGCAAATCGCAGGCATATTTTTTTCTCCTTGGAAAACGTGTTACTTTATACTCTTGATTTACTGTTTCTGAAAATTGAATGTTATTTTGTTTCAATGCATCAGTAAGGATGTATGACCAGATGTGGTGAGCCAGGGAAAGGGCCTGGAACCCTGAGGCCTGGAAACAATCCTGCCTTCACTTCTGTCTTTCCTCTCTGCTCCCATTACTGTCACTTCTTCCTTCTTCCCCCCTCTATCCCCCTAGCCAGGAGTTGAGAGGCTTAGAGCTGCAGCTGTTCTGCCTCCTTAGGCAGCTGTTCATCTACATTTTCTTGAACAGCTACAGGGACAGGAAACTGTCTTAAACATTTCATTCTACTTTAGTGATTACCTCCTACCTGTGGTCTCAAGTTTTTTTTGCATTGCAGCACTAAAAGTATCTGACGTCAGTGATCAGCCTTTTGGACAGTCAGACAGCGTAAAAATCACGTTGATTCTTACTGATCTTCCTGTCACCCAAAATAGAAGTTTTGTACATGCATGTAGATTTCAAAATCTTTCCCCTCAGTGATAGCAATTCCTTGATAAGTGTCTAAATTTTTAAGTTGAGTCTGCCAAGTAAAGTACCTGAGATTTAATGCTTGGGCAAGGCACAGTTTGTTTGACTATTGTTTAGAAATCCTTCTTTCCTTCTTTTGGTTCTCATCTGTGTTCTACATAGCTGGAGCTGTTACATAAATAAGTCGCAATGCAAGTAAGAGAAGTATTACTGTAAGATTGATTCTCACAAATCTTAATTTTCTCACTTTATTGACTCTTTGGAATCAATCCAGGTAACATATTTGAGTGCCTACTATAAATATACTTTAGTGGCCAGGCACGGTGGCTCACACCTATAATCCCAGCACAGTAGGAGGACGAGGCAGGTGGATCACCTGAAGTCAGAAGTTCAAGACCAGCCTGGCCATCATGGCAAAACCCCATCTCTGTTAAAAGCACAAAAATTAGCTGGGTGTGGTGGCAGGCGCCTGTAATCCCAGCTACTCAGGAGGCTGAGGCAGGAGAATGGCTTGAACCTGGGAGGTTGCAATGAGCCGAGATCGCACCATTGCACTCCAGCATGGGTGACAAGAGTGAGATTCAGTCTCCAAAAAAAAAAAAAAAAATGTGTGTGTGTGTGTATATATAGTATTCTTAGTTAAGCTATCTTTCAAGGATAACTAAAGAAGAAAAAAGATAAGTGTTTGAGTAGTATGTTCATTTTATCTAATTAATAGTGTTAGAACCAAATGACCACATGAAAGTGCCTTTGGATTTGTGAGGAGAAAAGGATAACTGTGGGCTGTGGTAGAGGAGCTTTCCCAGCTTTGTGAAAGAATTAGGGCTTGAGCTGGTCCTCAAAGGAAACGGAAATTGGATAGGTGGAGAGAGAAGAAAGTAGTTTTTCAGGCAAGCAGTTAAACTGGCATAAAAGCAGGAATTTTCAGACTATAGACAAGATATTAGTAGAAAAAAATGGATTTGTATGAACCAGACTTTGATTGAATATGAAAAAATTCTTGTGAGACAAGTAGAAGTCGGATTCCTAAGAGCTTAGGACTTTAATTGAGGATATTTAGAGATTTTTGAACTATAGCTTTATATGTATAAAGTTATGTTTTATGGGGTAGAAGAGGAAGAAGAGTTAAGATTACTACTAGTTGCCAGCATGGTTACTACAAAAGTTGCTATTCACCAAAAAACTCAGACGCATAGGAAAGCCAATTTGGGGGATTCTTTATCTGGCAGTTAGTAATAAGTTTTAAAATTATGGTGCAAAGGACCAATTTTGATTTAGTAATCCTTACATGAAAGATGAAGACTCATTTTGCACAAATGTTCCATGACTCTGATTTAATATTAAACATCACTAAAAATGAGCATGTTCTTTATCTCTTAGGCAGACTTGTTCTGCTCTACTTTTTTGCATCTCTGAGTGTCTTAGGAAATTTTTTTTTTTTTTTTTTTTTTTTAGATGGAGTCCAACCTGTCACCCAGGCTGGAGTGCAGTGGCAAGATCTCAGCTCACTGCAACCTCTGCCTCCCGGGTTCAAGTGATTCTTCTGCCTCAGCCTCCAGAATAGCTGGGATTACAGGAGCATACCACCATGCCTGGCTAATTTTTGTATTTTTAGTAGAGACGGGGTTTTGCCATGTTGGCCAGGCTGGTATCGAACTCCTGACCTGTCCTGAGGTGATCCGCCTGCCTCGGCCTTCCAAAGTGCTGGGATTACAGGCGTGAGCCATCATGCCCGGCCAATCTTGTGGATTTTTAAATAAATCTAAGAGTTATATTGTGAGCCAAGAGAACTTAACTGTCCACTCTGGCCACCCCACCCCAAGTTTGTTTTGTGGTGCAATTCACTTAGGCAGTCATTTCTTTTAAATACAAAGAGTTCCGTATCCCATTTGGTTTCAAGCTTTCACAATCTCTGTTAACCAAGAGTTTATAGTGAAGAGGATCAAATGCATTTATAATACCTTAGTTAACATTTTTGTTTCACTTGAAACAATATAGGTCAATCCGAGTTTGGATAGGTATATATTAAAGTACTTTTTTAAAATCAGATTACTTTGCTTTTATATGTCAAGGTAGTTAACTTTTGGGCTAACTTTATGCAGTTAGTTTTTATGTAACAGTTTATTTATAGTTAGTTAGAGAAGCCATAACTATAAAGAAAAAAACTTCTCTGGGCAAGATTTATTTCAGTGCTACCAACACCATTACCAAAGTGAATAGGCCAGAGTTTGTGATAGTTTTCATATTAAATAGTCTCAAGAATTCGTAAACTATTATGAATACTCATCTATTTATTATTAAATAATTATGGATTTTAAGATGCGTAGCTACAGTCATAGTCTTCAGTGGAAATTATGTTTTTTTATTTGCTTGAGCTTTTGTTTAATTTTGTAGTGGGCAGAAGTCTAGATTCAAATATATTGTGTAAGTTATTTGCATTTTGGAGCATGTGTTTTGTTCTTTACAAAACAGTTCAGAAGGAATGAGAATGGTTATAGAAATTTGTTTTTCTCTTTTTTTCTAAATTTATTGTGTCTTTTACTCTTTTACTATATCTTATCTAGGCTCTAACCTGGAAGTTTTAGATCTTAATAATAGTGGTTTTCTAGCAATGTGTTTTTAATTCATCCCACAGAATGTTCCTGGAGAGATTGTTTTAAAGAACTTTTACCTTTCCTTGATGATGAGCCATGGGTGATATTAGAGCCGTAAACTTGATTTTATTTTGAACTAATAAAATATGTATCTTTTTTGTATTACAGTAGTTACTCCTTCTCCATGGGGAATACCTGCTAACACCCCCAGAAGATGCCTGAAATTGCAGATAATGCCGGACTCTATATATACTATTTTTTTTAAATCCAATAACAGAGGTGGCTGCAGTTTAAGCATCCCTAATTTGAAAATCCCAAATTTTTTGAGCTTCTGTGTGATGCTGAGAGGAGATGTACATCGGTGCATTTTGGATTTTAGTTTTCAGATTAGGAATGCTCAACTGATAAGTAAAATGCAAATATTCTAAAATCTGAAACATTTCTGGTTCAAAGCATTTCAGATAAGGAGTGCTCAACCTGTACTAAATGACTACCAGGCAAGTAGGATAGTGTATACAGTGAAAATAGGCTGGACAAAGGGATGATTCATATACCCAGCAGGACGGAGCAGCAGGACAGTGGGAGACTTTTTTCACACTACTCAGAGTATACAATTTAAAACTTAGGAATTATTATTTCTGGACTTTTCCATTTAATATTTTCAGATTGCAGTTGACCACCAGTAACTGAAATCTCAGAAAGTAAAACTGCAAATAAGGGGGGACTACTGTAGCTAACACAGAATCCTTTCTTGGTACATAGGATTTACAATGAAATTAATCCCTAAAAATCTAGTCCTTACTTTTTCTGTGCTAAGCAGTTAAAGAAGATACTCCCTGCCGGTGTGCCTTTAGAACAGTGAATTTGGCCGGGAAGTGGCTCACACCTGTTACCCCAGCACTTTTAGGAGGCTTAAGCAGGTTGATTACTTAAAGTCCAGTAGTTCAAATGGTGAAACCTGGTCTAAATAAATAAGGTATTTTCTAGTTTTTTGTTGTTCTTTTCTTTTTTTTTTTTTTTTTTTTTTTTAAAAGAGACAGGACCTCATCTGTTACCCAGGCTGGAATGCAGTGGTGTGATCATAGCTCACTGTAGCCTTAAACTCCTTGGCTCAAGTGATCCTCCTACTTCAACCTCCCAAGTAGCTGGGACTGCATGTGTGAGCCACCACACTCAGCTAATTTTTTAAAAATGTCTGTAGAAACAGAGTCTCGCCATGTTGGCTAGGCTGGTTTTGAACTCCTGGCCTCAAGCAGTACTCCCACCTCAGTCTCCCAAAAGTGGCATGAGCCACTATACCTGGCTTTCTTGTAGTTTAACCTAAGCCATGTAAAATGATTTAGCTATTTTTACATAGCCTTTTTATGTGATGGCTTTCTCACTGTCTAATTTAGCATGACATTATTCTAACTGCTAAAATGCCAACCCAAGAGAGGGTCTAATTGTTAGTTTCCACATAGGAGAAGTTATTTGCATTGAATCTTAGCACATTTGGATTTACAGATGTCCAATCAGATGGGGCGGAGTACTGATGGAGTTATGCATATAACTAAGACATTAGGATTTCTTCTTTCACTTGTTTTTGGTTTTTTGTTTTTGTTTTTGGAAACAAGGTCTTGCTCTGTTAGCAAGGCTGGAGTACAGTGGTGCAATTACATCTCACTGCAATCTCTGCCACCTGGGCTCAGATGATCCCCCCCACCTCAGCCTTCCAAGTAGCTGGGATGAACTTCCAAGTAGGTGGGGTGCACCGCCACAGTGGGCTAATTTTTGTATTTTTAGTAGAGACAGGGTTTTGCCATGTTGTCCAGGCAGGTCTTAACCCATTTATGTGGGAACTTGCAAAATTTTTTTGTGAAAAATCAGACCTTGGCCATGACCTTGAGCAGTAAGATATAAATAACTCCCACAAGCTTAGCGTTCAATGGAACACTAGGCATAAATAGGTTAAACTGGCAGGCTCAAGCAGTCCACCAACCTTGGCCTCCCATAGTGCTGGGATTACATGCGTGAGCCACCATGCCCAACCTATTCTTCCACTTTTGCACTCAACAGGCCTTCTCTGAATGCCTGCTATGTGCCAGACCCCGTGTCTAGCACACACTTAGTCACATGCCAGGGATAAGGGGGTGTGGTAGGGAGGGATTATAAAGGAAGGGCCAGCAAGAGCAAGGTATTATAGAGTGTTGAGTGTTAAACAGGGCAGAACATGAGCTGTCCATGTGCATTCTGAGGGTGAGAAGGGCTAAATATTTACAAGATCAGAACTCAGAACGTGTAAACATCAATATTTTTCAAGTTAGTGGATTTGGAATATAAAAATCATTAAAATTGGCTTTATGTTTACTTAATAAAAATGCTTACGTTTTTGCAAAAGTAGAAAAAGAAGGGATTAAAAATGAAAAATAGCTTATAAGAACTGTCTCAGTTTTAAACTCAGACAAGTCACATTCCTCACCAGCAATTCTTAAAAAAACCAAAGTTAGTACCATGAGTAAAAGAAAAATTACCTAGCTTTGCATAATCTCTTTTTTCTGTTTCACAAGCGAATATAAAGATAACATTTGCATCCTGTTGCATTTTGACAAGCATTATATATCAAATACAGAGAAAATTAAGTGTGGAGAAAAAAATTATATAAATTAAATTTAGAACCATTTTGTTTTTCGTAATAAAATGATTGCTCAAAGAATTCCATTTGATGACTGTTGAAAGCTCACTGCAGTTTATGATATAACTGATAAAATCTGCATCCTTGGCCTTCCAACAACCTTTACACCAGCAGATGGTGGGCGTAAAGATGTCATTCATCATTTATTTACAATGGGCTTTATTTATTCTAGTGTCAACAGCTGCCCCAGGGAGTGGGTTATTGAATTCAAATGTGGGGCTCTGGGTTATTTGCTTCCTTTCAAATTTGTCTTCAGAGCTTAGTTGCTAGGAGTCCATTCTGTCCTTTAATAATGATTCGTGTATTGTGAAGCCATTCAGTAAATTGGGTTGTCAGGGATTGCCAAAAAGGGTTTAGAGGTCTTGCGGAGTGGGGAGGTTGCCAGAGTGGCTGCATGTGCATCTGGTTGTCTTACGCAATAGTGGTATTTTATAACTTAAGACTGGTGAAGTTTTCTTCTTTCCCTTTATGCACTCCTTTCCTACCTGCCCGTATTCTGTATATGAATAATATGAAAATGTAGAGGACATTGTATTAAAGGAAACTCTCAACTTTTTCTTTCTTCACAGGCAGGGCAAGAATCCTTTCGTTCCATCACAAGATCATACTACAGAGGTGCAGCAGGAGCTTTACTAGTTTACGATATTACAAGGTGAGAACTTGAAAACTTTGCAATTCAGTAGTTGATATAGAGAATTTTTCTAAATAAATTTGGTTTTCAGTAATAAAAGAATAGCTTAGCCTTTCTGCCCTGGCTACTCACCTTTAAAACTGTGCGTTGAGTCAAATTTCAATTTACTACAGAAACCTGCAACTGAATTGTTTTTCTTATCTGAATAAGCAGCCTTAAATTGATGAATTTTATCAATATCATTTTTCATTGGAATTTTCTAAAGTGTGGTTACATTTACTGTCTAAACTGAAGTGTAATCAGTGAGCTCTAAACCCAGATATGGTGCTTAAAACTACTTTTCGTTACGTAAGTGGATATGGCTAAAAATGGTTCTCTTTAATAATATGTATATTGTTTGTTGTATAATACTAAGGGAAATGCTTTGAACATAGTAATTAAATTATTATTTATGTTTAGGAGAGATACATTCAACCACTTGACAACCTGGTTAGAAGATGCCCGCCAGCATTCCAATTCCAACATGGTCATTATGCTTATTGGAAATAAAAGGTAAAAAGGATAATTTAGAGCTTATATTGCATTAATGATGAAGACTGTGCTGTTTATGTGGCTACTTTCCTTAACCTTTGTTCAAATATAAGTTACTAGCCTCTTAAATTATGACATATGACAATTTACAAGGGACCCTATTGCATTATACATCGTAAGAATCGTTTATTAATGATTACATTAATTACTACATTAATTAAGCCATCTACATTCAATCTTACTGGGTAATATTTTTCTCAAATTATAATTCCCAACACTGACTTTACCTGTGACAAAAGGATTCTTTTGATTTTTAAAATACTGATAATAAACTTTGTTGGAAATTATTACTGTTGTTATTTGAAATAGTTTTTGTGTAAAGAAATACTTTAAAAAGTAATCTGATGGAGTTTTATCAGATTACTGATGTAAAGTAAAACCCACTGATTTATTTGGAGAGATGGATTCAACATCCTTGTACTCTCAATTTAAAATGCTAGTATATGGGAAAACATTTGCTTGGCCAGTTTCCATAAACTTGCAAGAATATGGGAACGTTTTGACTAATTTTGGTAGAAACTTAAGTGATAAGAAAATATTATTATTTTCAAAATGTTAGGCACCATTCTTTTTGCTTTGTTTTGTTTTTTGAGACAAGGTCTCACTCTGTTACCCAAGCTAGAGTACAGTGGTGTGATCGTAGCTCACTGCTGCCTTGGCCTCCCAGGATCAAGAAATCGTCCTGCCTTAGCCTCCCAAGAGGCTGAGGCTACAGGCAGGCACCACCAAGCCCAGTTAATTTTTTTATTTCTTGCAAAGAAGGAGTCTCACTTTGTTACCCAGGCTGGTCTCAGGCTCCTAACCTCAAATGATTCTCCCACCTGGGCCTCCTAAAATACTGGAATTACAGGGATAAGCCACCACACCCAGCCCATTCATTCTTTAGGGTTATATTAATAAAATACTGTTAAGAGATGATGTTTTTAGAGAGGTAAAATCACAACTTATATGAGCACATCTCAAAACTTTTATCTCATTAATTAACAAGATAAGGAAACTGGTAAGATATTTTAACCAGTTCAAAAGGGAACTCAAAGTACCACACATTCATAGTCAAATAAGGCATACTGAAATGAATTTACAAGATGGATGTAAAACTGAACAATATTCGAAGGGTAGTAATTGTATTCCACAGGACACAGTCTGCATTTTTATGGACAGGAATTATTTGTGCTTATATCTATTTCCCACAAGTTAGCTTCTCTCTTTTTCTGCAATCCTTGAACATGTGTGAGATGCAGTTAAAAATAGTACTATTAAGAAAAATTTTAAATGAACAGTCTAGGGTCAGGTGCAGTGGCTCGCACCTGTGATCCCAACACTTTGGGAGGCCCAGGTAGGAGGATTCCTTGATCCCAAGAGTTCAAGATCAGCCTGGGCAACACAGGGAGACCCCATCTTTACCAAAAATTTAAAAATTTAGCTAGACATGATGGTGCATTCCTGTGGTTCCAGCTCTCAGGAGGCTAATGAGGGAGAATCACGTGAGTCCAGTTGAAGCTGCAGTGAACTATGCTCATGCCACTGTACTCCAGCCTGGGCGACAGAGCAAGACCTCGTCTCAAAAAATAACAAAGAAAGTAGCCTAATTTTTTACCTTAAGAAACTAGAATAAGAGCAAATCAAACTCAAGGAAAGCCTCCCCCACCCCTGCAAAAAAAAAAAAAAAAGATGATAAAGAAAAAAGACAGTGAAACCAGAAGGTAGTTCTTGAGAAGATAAAATAAAAGATACTGATCAGGGAAAAAGACAAACATTAGCAATATCAGGAAAGAAAGGTTGACATCACCATAGATTAAAAAAAAGAGAGAGAGAATATTGTAAACAGACTAAGTAAATAAAGAGATATAACTTTGTTCATGGATTGTAAAACTAAGTATTTTTAAGACATCTTATCAAATTTATCAAAAACTTTGTTGAAGGACAGGTACAGCAGCTCACACCTGTAATCCCAGCACTTTGGGAGGCTAAGGCAGGAGGATCACATGAGGCAAGGAGTTCAAGACCAGACTGGGAATATAGCAAGACCCTCTGTCTACAAAAAATAAAATAATTTTTAAAAGCTAGCCAGGCATGGTGGCACAAGCCTTTAGCCCTACTTACTCAGGAAGCAGAGGTGAGAGGATCACTTGAGTCCAGGAGCTCAAGGTTGTGGTGAGCTATGGTTGTGCCAGCTGTATTCCTGCCTGGACAAAAGAGTTACAGACACCTGTGTTTCCTAGCCGTTTGACTCCAGATGTTTACCCAACATAAATATGTTTTCATGTGTCTACAGAATTATGTACAAATATTCATACAAGCTTTATTTGTGGTAGTCTCAAACTGGAAACAACCCACATGTCTATTAACAGGGGAATAGAAAAATAAATTTTGATACAGCCTTACAACAGACTACAACTCAGCTATAAAGAGGAATGAACTATTGATACATGCAACAAAATGGATGATTCTCAAAATAATTACAGAGTGAAGAAACTTAGATCAAAAATACCATGTGATTACATTTATATAAAATCCTGATAAATGCAGACTAATCTGTAGTGGCAGAACGCGGATCATCAGCTGTCTAGGGTACAGGGGCAAGAAGGGATGGATTACAATGGGAGTATGAGGAAAGTTTTGGGAGACTGATGGCTTTACAGGCATATATATCTCAAAACTCAACAAATTTTGCATTTAAGTACAACTTTTATGTCTGTTACATCTCAAAAAAGCTATAAAAAAGCTCTAATGTAAAACATCATTATACTATATAGATTTTAGAGTGTTTAATAGAAATTGAGATTTGCTATTAAGAGAAAATGTTTAATTAAGTGATATTTACATTATAAAAAGCTAAACATTGCTTACTTCTTTGTGTAGAGAAGAAACTTACTACACTTTGTGTAGTATTCTCTGAAGATGATATTCTCCGAAGGCCTTTCTTGTGTATTCTTTTCCACATTTAAGTCATCTCACTAAGCCTTTTTAAGGTTAAGGCTGTTGGAGAGAAGCTTTAGTCTTTCTACAATGGAAATAGTTAGTCTGCCTTTCAAGGTATGAAATGATAGGAGGAGAATACTTGGAGAATGAAGAGAATTTTTGTCCTTTTACCGATCTTTTCCTTGTGCCTGGAAACATGAGTGACAGCTTACTGGTGGCTTAAATTTGGTTGCTGACCACTAGGAGCTGATAGTTCAAATGTGAAAAGAAATATAGTATATAACCAGGAGATGTTTCTGATTGTAGGTGGGTGACCTTTAAAATTAGGAGTCTAATGAACAAGCAAGAACAGAGAGAAATAAATGAGATGATTATTTTTAGATGAAGTGAATTGTGGGTAGACATCATAATAGGGAATAAGCAATTTTTGAATTAGAGGTATTAAGGAGTAGTGAGCCAGTGAAGGGCAGTCACTTAGAGCAACAGATGACACAGATTTTTCTTACTGTGGCATTTTATTAATAAATTGGTTATATAAGAAATAGGAAGTAGAGGTTTAAAAGATGAAAGTCTTTTAATAGTATAAGGATTGTATTACAAACCCTAAAGAAAAAGGGGGGCATGAGTTGAAAGATATTTAAGTAACGTAAGAACTTAAGTGGGATTCAAAGGGAGTGAACAAAGACAACAATGTGATGTAATGCCTGGAAAACTGGTGTTTTTAAAACTTTGCATTAAGTGTAACTAAGTATATAAAGTACTATAGCTTTTGAGGTTTTTTGCTTGACCTAAATATGTAAACATATTTATTTATATGTGTGTGTGTGTGTGTGTGTGTGTGTGTGTGTTTTGTTTTGTTTTGTTTTTCCCCTTCTTCAGATGGAGTCTCGCTCTGTCTCTCAGGCTGGAGTGCAATGGCACAATCTCGGCTCACTGCAACCTCTGCCTCCTGGGTTCAAGCGATTCTCCTCCCTAAGCCTCATGAGTAGCTGGGATTTCAGGCACATGCCATCATGCCTGGCTAATTTTTATATTTTTAGTAGAGACTGGGTGTCACCATGTTGGTCAGGATGGTCTTAAACTCCTGACCTCGTGATATTCCCACCTTGGCCTCCCAAACTTCTGGGATTATAGGCGTGAGCCACTGCGCCCGGCCAAGAAATGTATTTTACATCATGACCTAGTATATAAATTGTGCATATACCTACACATATAACAAAATTTTAATAAATTTTACCTATATACATAAGTTCCATTATACAGTATATGTAACTTATGTATATAGGTGATACACTGATACTTTATGTTGTTTTTATTTTTGGTTTGTTGGGTTTGTTTGTTTTTTTTTTTTTTTTTTTGAGACAGCTGGAGTGCAATGACACAATCTTGGGTCAAGCAATTCTCCTGCTTCAGCTTCCTAAGGAGCCGGGATTACAGACACCTGCCATCATGCCCAGCTAATTTTTGTGTTTTTATAGATACAGGGTTTCACCATACTGACCAGGCTGGTCTTCAACTCCTGACTTCAGCCTCCCAAAATGCTGAGATTTACAGGTGTGAGCCACTGCACCCGGCCTATTTCTTTTTTTAAAAAATTCTGATTATTTCCTACTGATGTGATTTTTACAATTCACGGAGTCATGGCACAGTTTGAAAAATACTACCCAGGCTGAACTCAGTGGCTCACACCTGCAATCCCAGCAATTAGGAAGGCTAAAGTGGGAGGATCACTTGAGTCCAGGAGTTCAAGACCAGTTTGGGCAACATAGTGAGACTGTCTCTTAAAAAAAAAAAAAAGAAAGAAAAAGAAAACTACCCTGGAAAAGCCTTGACACATGTATACACAAAAAACTGTATAAAATTTTTATTGTATCATTGTTTATAATAATGAAAAATTATAAGTAACTTTGTCTCATGGAAAATTTAAATTGTATTGTGTTCATTCAGTAGACTATAATACAGCAGTAAAAAAATAAACTAGAGCTACATGTATTGTATGGATAAACTTGAAAAACATAATGTTGACTAAAGTTAACAAGTTTTAAAACAGTAGCTAATCTGAATTTTTGAAAATATGGAAAAGAAATACTATTTATGGTTATAAACACGAGTATAAATGCAAAAACATGCATGAGAATGAAAACACCAAAATCAGGTAGTAGTTACCTTTAGGGTAAGAGGGAGGAGAATGGGATCAGAGACACACACACACAGGTGGTGATTCTGCTATTGCTGATTTTATTTCTTAAAAGAAACCCGAAATCTGGCAAATAATATGTCAAGGCTAGCTGGAAGTTTGTAGATATTATATTATCCTACATCTTTTTCCATGTATAAATATGTAGTAGTAAATAATATCTAAATAAAAAGTAGTAAATATAGTTGTAAAATTTTTAAACTTTTACAATAAAACACACTTTGAAAGAGACTGCTACTCTCCTCCCCGCCACCGACCTCACTAATACCCTTCTTTCATTGCAAATTTCTAGCTTACACTTTCTCCCTCTCTTTCTCCTTTTATCTCTCTCTCTCCTCCCTCCCTCCCTCCCTCTCTCTTTCTCTGTCTATATCAGTTTTGCTTTAAGAAGAAATTGGAAATTAAACAAACTGAGATCAGTGACCTAATGTCTCTTTAGTACTTTGGATTTTACTAAACAATTTCCTGTAGTTTCTGAGAGCTATTTTAATCACATTCATAGAAACTCAGTCAGTCTGGCCAATCAAGGAAGATAGTATAGTCCTGCTCTTTCAAATTATATTGAGCAAAATGGCGCTCTTCTGTGGGAATCCACTGTACTCAAAATATAGCTATTGGACTAGAGGCTCCCTTAAGTTACGGCTAGTTCTAACGTTCTAGAACTCTAACACAGACTTCTTCTGTTGGATTGTTAGTTCTTTCAAACTAGACAGTGTGTTCTAAGTACTAATCCTCATAATACCCAGAATAGTACAGTTAGTATGTTAAATATTAATTAAAAGAATGGTCATCACAACTTTGAATTCCATGCTGTACTTTATACAAATGCCCCTATTTGGACCATGTTGATTAATAATGTGACCCTTTCTTTCCCATATTTAGTGATTTAGAATCTAGAAGAGAAGTAAAAAAAGAAGAAGGTGAAGCTTTTGCACGAGAACATGGACTTATCTTCATGGAAACGTCTGCTAAAACTGCTTCCAATGTAGAAGAGGTAAATAAAAGGCCCTTTAAAATGTACATCTTTTTACTTAATAGAAATGTTTTATGTATCTTCATTTTATTTATTATTTATTTTAAGATTTTAGTCTGATGGTCTCTTTGAATATCATAAAGTAGGAACATTTCTTCCCTTTAAAATGGCTTATAACATTCATTTTCTGTCAGAATCTTATATTGAGCCTTCCCTTAAAGCCTGAATGCTTTCTTACATCTTTGTACATATTTTTCTTCCCTCTCTTTTTCTAAACAATTTTCTATAGTTTCTTAGAGTTATATTTTAATCACATTCATAGAAAGTCAGTCAGCCTGGCCAATGGAGGAGGATAGTATAGTCCTGCTCTTTCAAATTATGTTGAGCAAAATGACTTTCTGTGAGAATCCGCTATACTCAAAGATATAAATATATTGGGCTTTTTTGTGTTGCATGGGATGGAAACAAAGAATACTAGTGAAATTTGGAAATGTTTCAAGACACCAAAATATTTGTAGCTGTTTGTATCCACTTCTGCTTATTCTTTAAATTGTATTTGTTTTTTTAACTGTCAGTATATTACCACATTACCACTTCTGCTTAAAATACTATGTTATTGATGTATAATGTTTTACAAAGCATGAGAGTTCTGTTTCATCTATTGAAGAAATTTGTATTATCTCAATTATTTCCATTGGTCAACCTGAACTATTGGAACTTTTCTGAACACAGTGTATTCTTCTATGTTCTATGTGTTTGGAGGTGGTATGTATATGCATACTATAAATAGATGATGGCATAGTTGATCCTTTCTATGTATTACTGTACTCTTATTTTATAAAAAGAGGTAATGAAGCTAAGAAAAGTAGTAGTTTACCCAGAGTAATGCTTAGTTCCCAATTTCTGGATAAGAACAGCTTATAAAAGCAACTACAGAAAGTAGTTGTAAAAAACAAGTGATTGAAGAATCACTGCTGTAAGGATAACAGAGGTCAGGGGCCTGGGCAACAGCTAGCATGTGCCTTCAACATAGTAAGCACTCAGTAAATGTTAAGAATGATACTTGAGGCTGGACGCAGTGGCTCATGCCTGTAACCCCAGCACTTTGGGAATCCAAGGCGGGCAGATCACTTGAAGTCTGTAGTTCAAGACCAGCCTGACCAACATGGTGAAACCCCATCTCTATTAAAAATACAAAAATTAGCTGGGCGTGGTGGCAGGCACCAGTAATCCCAGCTACTCAGGAGGCTGAGGCAGGAGAATCGCTTGAACCCGGGAGGCAAATGTTGCAGTGAGCCAAGATCTTTCCACTGCACTTCAGCTTGGGCGACAGAGTGAGACTCTTGTCTCAGAAAAAAAAAAAAAATGGAATAATACTTTGGAGTTCTTCTGATTAACTCTTGAACCTAGAAATTGACCACAGTAATTCTACAGCATTGGTATTTTTACTGAAGAATTCTTTCTTAGGTAAAATATTACAGTCATGTATAATATTTTACAATACAGTAGACAAGAAGAAGTCTCTAAATTTTTACTCCTACTTCAAGAACCCAAAGCAAAATCACAAAAAGAAAAACCCAAAATAAATAGAAGGGAGGAAATATTAAAGAGCAAAGATCAATTAAGTTGAAAACAAAAACCAGTGAAACAGAGTTGGATTTTTTTAAAAACATCAGTAAAATTGACAGACCTCTAGCCAAACTGACAGAAAAGGTACAGGTTACCAATGTCAGTAACAAAACGGAAGCTATCACTACAGATTCTCCAGACATAAAAGAGGTATTTAGGGAATGCCATCAACAGCTCTACCCACATAAATATGACAACTTAGATGAAATAGACCAGTTTATCCAAAAACATAAACTGCCACAACCCAGCTAGTATGAAAAAGTTAATTTGAGCCTGGCCAACATGGTGAAACCTTGTCTCTACTAAAAATATAAAAATTATCTGGGCATATGGCAGGAGCCTGTAATCCCCGCTACTCAGTAAGCTGAGGCAGGAGAATCACTTGAACCCAGGAGGTGGAGATTGCTGTGAGCCAAGATCTCACCATTGCATTCCAGCCTGGGCAACAGAGTGAGATTCCATCTCACACACACACAAAAATAATAATAATACAGAGGAATCTATAATTGCCTTAAAACAAAAAGTTAAAACACAGCTGTACATACAACTTAAACTAATTAAATTCAGTCCTTTAACACCATGATGACAATTTTAAAAATGAAAATTCATCAGAAGAGGCCTCCCAACCACCATAAAATACTAATATTAGAATATAGAAAATGGCTATAGAAGCTTAATGGTATTTTTATGAATTCTTAAAGAATACAGATTTTCTTTTTCAAATTGTTAAATTTTTGCTCATAGGACTTTTTCACAAGAGCTCTTCATGATGTCACATTTCTGCAGAGAGCAAATTTTTATACAGATAGTTCCCTCTATATATGTTTAGCATATACCTAACAAATAATAATTAATGTTGAGATTTTTATTATGCATAAACTTTCTTTTTTTTTTTTTTTTTTTTTTTTTTTTGAGATGGAGTATTGCTTTCACCCAGGCTGGAGTGTGTTGGCGAAATCTCGGCTTGCTTCAACCTCCGCCTCCCAAGTTCAACCAATTTCCCCTGCCTCAGCTTCCTGAATAGCCGGAACTACAGGCATGTGCCACCATGTCTGGCTAATTTTTTGAATTTTTAGTAGAAACAGGGTTTCAGTGTGTTGCCCAGGATGGTTTCGAACTTCTAAGCTCAAGTGATCCGCCCACCTTGGCCTCCCGAAGTGCTTGGGGTTACAGGCATGAGCCACCGTGCCCAGGGTATTATGCATAGACTTTCTTAATTACATTTCTCAGAAGTAGCTAAAGATGAAATTGTACTAATATTCTTTTTTTTTTTTTTGGAAAAGGCAGTTAAGCTATATAGAATGAGAAAGTCCAGGTTAGAAGATAAACAAAACAAACTGCATTCATTCACGATGTCTGCATGTCAGATTTTTAAATGAAAGGCTTTTTTAGGACAATACACTTTTTTTATTCATTAGCTTATTTTTCTGTATCATTTATATAAAAGCATTTTGGTAGGCTCACAATGAAGTTGATGGAGTTGATGTTAAGCCTAAATGTTTTATTTTGTTTTTTTAAGATGGGGTCTTGGGATCTGACACCCATGCAGGGGTACAGTGGTTCAAACATGGCTCTCTGTAGCCTCAACCTCTTGGGCTCAAGTGATCCTCCTGCTTCAGCCTCCCAAGTAACTGGGAAGACAGGTGTGTGCCACTATGCCCAGCTAATTTTTTTGTTTTTTATAGAGACAAAGTCTTGTCATGTTGCCCAGGCTGGCCTCAGGCTCCAGAATTCAAGATATCCTCCCACCTCAGCCTCCCAAAGTGCTGGGATTACAGGCTCAAGCCACTGTGCCTGGACAGGCTGCTGTTCAAATTAATCGGTATTATCACTTTAAAAAGTAAACCCTTATACACATCATCTAGTTTTAGAAGTTATCACCATGTAGACATTTTGAGTCTTATATCCCATTCGTTGAGCAAATGCCAGAAACATTTTTACCTATAAATACTTCAGTATAAGTAATTTTAAAAAATATAACTACCTGCCAGGTGTGGTGGCTCATGCCTATAATCCCAGCACTTGGGGGGTGGAGGCAGGTGAATCACGAGGTCAAGAGATCAAGACCATCCTGGCCAACATGGTAAAACCACGTCTCTACTAAAAATACAAAAATTATCTGGGCGTGATGGCAGGCGCCTGTAGTCCCAGCCACTCAGGAGGCCGAGGCAGGAGAATTGCTTGCCGGAGGCAGAGGTTGCAGTGAGCCGAGATCGCACCACTGCACTCCAGCCTGGTAATTGAGCGAAACTCCGTCTCAAAAAAACAAACAAAAAAAAACATATATATATATATATATATATATATATATATATATCTCACACACACAATACCATTATCATATATAACTTAGCAGTAATTCCTTAATAATATCTAATATCAAGTCTTAATGTCATCCCTTTTATTTCATTCAACAAGTAATGTTGGAAAACGAGTATTTAGTTTTTTTATTTGGGATCAGAGAAGACTAACAAAAGGATTTCTTCCACCTAAACCAGCACTTATTTGGTATCTGCCTTTTGATAGGCATTCACCATCAGTTCCTATGGCAGGAGAGCCAAGACCAAACTATGAAGCTGAAAAATTACAATATACTGTGTTAGAGATTTAAGCAAGAATTATCCTGCAGAATTAGATCCAGGGAGGTAAATGTTAGGCATGCATGGCCCATCGATTCTTGATCACCTTGTCCCTTGGATTTGGAACAAACAGCAATTACAGTCATTATGGGGAAGTTTGTTCTAAGTGTTGTGCCTTACGTTTTTGCTTTTCAAGGGCTCAGATTTGCCTAACTGTGCCATCCTGTTGTTCCTTAGAAGAATAAGCAAAGCTGTATAAGAGAGGCGGTTTAGCACAGTGGATAGAAACTGTCTGAGCTCAGACAGGAATCTATCCTCAGCTTGCTCTCTGGAGGACTCTTTTCTATGAGAGCTGATTGTGTGATGGGTTAAGAATAAGGCAGGTATTCTAATGACAGATACCAGTTGTCTAGTGACAGTGGTGGTTGGTGTTGGAACAATTCAGAGAAGGTCATCCTCTTTTTTATAAATCTGTTGAAAATTATTCACATCCCAGCTGATCCTTGGCACTCATGTGTAGAGAAATTTTAATGCACAGAGAACTCTCTTAAAAGGTTTTTTAAAATATAAACTATTTAAAGATAATTACGTTAGAGATAGAATGACTTATACAAATGCCAGTATTCTGATGAGTGTGCCATCTGACTGTGGGTTCTTTTTAAAAATTTGAGACTATTATTATTTGTTAAGGTTAAATACTAATGGCACATTGATGATGTTTAGAACTAGACCTGTTTTCTTTTGATGTTGTGCTGTACTCTGTGTATACATTTTAACCAAGACCCAGTTCCTGTAATACAAGTGGACACTATGAAGTTTAACTGTTATAGTTCTCTGTAAAGGATTGAATAATTTACAGCATAAAATAACAACAGCTTTGTTCCCACACTAGCTGTGTTGTTGCTGGAAATAGATTTACTATTAATCTATAGATTTCCTATTTACTATTAATCAGCTTTATGATTTCATTTCAGAAGGATCTGTTGAGGGGAAAAAGGGGTAACATGGTGTTAGAGATAAGTGAATGCAAAAGATAGCTCTTCAGAACACAGAATTATCTGGTCCAAAATGTCAGCAGTATTGAGATTGAGAAACACTGAATTATTTTAATAAAACACAGTTCAACTCAAGGAAATGAAGCACCCATTCATAATACATGAACCTTCTTTATTCACTTAGCAATAGGAGGGATTGTGCTATGATTTTAATATTAAAAATGAGTCCAAATGCTGTGACTTATGCCTGCAATCCTGGTATTTGGGAGGCTGAGGCAGGAAGATCACTTGATGCCAACAGTTTGAGTCCAGCCTGGCCAACATAGCAAGACCCTACCTCTATTTTAAAAGACAGAAAGAGAGGGAGAGGGAGGAGGAGGAGAAGAAGAAAGAAAAGAGAAAAGGAAAGAAAGGAAAAGAAGAAAATAGATGACAGATTGATCGATTGATAGATAGCTAGCTAGATAGATAGAGTTTGGATCTGTGTCCCTGGCCAGATCTCATGTCGAATTCTAATCCCTAATGTTTATAGTGGGGCCTGGTGGGAGATGATTAGATCACAGGGGCAGTTTCTTTTGAATGATTTAACACCATACCGCTTGGTGTAGTTCTCATGATACTAAGTTCTTGTGGTATCTGATTGTTTAAAAGTGTGTACCACCTCCCCCATCTTTTTCTTCCTCCTGCTCTATCCATGTGAAGTCCCTTGCTCCCCCTTTGCCTTCTGCCATGATTGTAAGTTTCCTGAGGCCTCTCCAGAAGCTGAGCAGATAACTAGCATCATGTTTCCTGTACATCCTGCGGAACCGTCGGCCATTTAAATGCCTTTTCTTTATAAATTACCCAGTCTCAGATACTTCTTTATAGCAATGGGAGAAAGGACTAATACAGAAAATTAGTACTGAAGAGTGGGGCTTTGCTATAAAGATACCTCAAAATGTGGAAACGACTGTGGAACTGGGTAATGGGCAGAGGTTGGAAGAGTGTAGAGGGCTCAGAAGACGAAGAAAAATTTGGAACTTCCTAGAGACTGCTTGAATTGTGACCAAAATGCTGATAGTGATGTGGACAATGAAGTCCAGGCTGAGGAGGTCTCAGATGGAAATGAGAAACTTATTGGGAACTGGAACAAAGGTCTCTTTTGTTATGCTTTAGCAAAGAACCTGGCCGCATTGTACCCCTGCCTTAGGGACCTGTGGAACTTTGAACTTGAGAATGACGATTTAAGGTATCTGGTGGAAAAATTCTCTAAGTGACAAAGCAGTCAAGATGTAACCTGGCTGCTTCTAATAGCCTGTCTCATGTGAGCAAAGAAATGACCTGAAACTGGAACTTACATTTTTTTTTTTTTTTTTTTTGAGAGAAAGAAAGGAAGGAAGAAGGGAAGGAAGGAAAGAAGGAGAAAGAAAGGAAAGGAGAAAGGAGAGGAAAGGAAAAAAGAAAAAGAGAAAGAAAGAAAAAGAGAAAGAGGGAGAGAGAATGGAGTCTTGCTCTGTTGCCCAGGCTGGAATGCAATGATGTAATCATAGCCCAGTGCAGCCTCAAACTCCTCACCCCAAGCCACCCCTCCACCTCAGGCTACCCTACCAAGTATTTGAGACTACAGGCATGCACCTTTGCCAGGCTAATCTAAAATAAAAATTTCATTTTCCTTTTTTTTTTTTTTTGAAAACTGTTTTCCAAAGTGACTATCTTGTTTTGTGTTTCCACCAGAAACATCTGAGTTTTGCTCCAGCTGTCCCACATATTCACCAGCATGTTGTATTACCAGTTGTTTTATTTTAGCAACTCTAAAAGGTATATAGTAGTGTCTTAATTTGATTTTATTTTGCACTTTCCTAATGAGCTATGATGCTGAGTATCTTTTCTTTTTTTTGTAATTATTTTAATTTAATATAAATTAAATTAAACATTTAATTTCTCAGTTGCACTAATCACATATCAGAGGCTCAAAGGCCACATGCAGTTAGTGGCTATCTTATTGGATGGCACAGATTATCAAACATTTCCTTTATTGCAGAAACTTCTGCTAGACAATAGGATGCCTTAGCTAAAGTCATGAGTTCTTTCACATCAGAATTCATGGCTAATCTTCAGTAGGAATAGAGCAATTTTATAAGACTATAACATTTAGTCCTAAAGCATTCAAAGTCCAATTTTCTCATTCCATGTTACAGTTACAAATTTCTCTAGTTTTGATTTAAAAATTACCTGACCATATTTGCTATCTCCCCAACTAAGTTGGAAGTCTTTTAAGAATGGGGCCACTTTTTATCCAATTTGCCAGTCTGTGTCTTTTGATTGGGTCATTTAGTCCATTTTCATTTAGGGTTAATATTAATATGTATGAGTTTGATACTGCCATTTAAAGCTAGCCAGCTGTTTCGCCCATTAGTTGATGCAGATTCTTCATTATGTTGATGCTGTTTACCTTTTGGTATGTTTTTAGAGTGGGTGGTACTGGTTGTTCCTTTCTATGTGTAGTGCTTCTTTCAGGAGCTCTTGTAAAGCAGACCTGGTGGTGATGAAATCTCTGAGTACTTGCTTGTTCACAAAGGATTTTATTTTTCCTTCACTTATGAAGCTTAGTTTGGCTGGATATGAAATTCTGGGTTGAAAGCTCTTTTCTTTAAGGATGTTGAATATTGGCCCCCACTCTCTTCTGGCTTGTAGGGTTTCTGCTGAGAGATCTGCTGTGAGTCTGTTGGGCTACCCTTTGTGGGTAACCTGACCTTTCTCTCTGGCTGCCCTTAGCATTTTCTGCTTCATTTCAACCCTGGTGAATCTGATGATTATGTGCCTTGGGGTTACTCTTCTTGAGGAATGTCTTTGTGGTGTTCTCTGTATTTCCTGGACTTGAATATTGGCCTGCGTTGCTAGGTTGGGGAAGTTTTCCTGGATAATATCATGAAGAATATTTTCCAGCTTGGATTCATTCTCTTTGTCACATTCAGGTACGCATATCAAACGTAGATTAGGCCTTTTCGCATAGTCCCATATTTCGTGGAGACTTTGTTCATTCCTTTTTACCCTTTTTTCTCTAATCTCACCTTCTCATTTTATTTAATTGAGTTGCTCTTCGACCTCTGATATCCTTTCTTCCGCTTGGTCAATTCGACTGTTAAAATTTGTGCATGCTTCGCAAAGTTCTCGTCTTTTTCAGCTCCATCAATTCATTTATATTCCTCTCTAAGTTGTCTATTCTCGTTAGCATTTCGTCAAATCTTTTTTCAAGGTTCTTAGTTTCTTTGCATTGGGTTAGAACATGTTCTTTTAACTTACAGAAGTTTCTTATTAGCCACCTTCTGAAGCCTGATTCTGTCAATTCTTCACACTCATTCTCCATCAGGCCTTGGTCCCTTGCTGATGAGGAATTGTGATCCCTCGTGGGAGAGGCATTCTGGTTTTGGGTGTTTTCGGTCTTTTTGCGCTGGTTTCTTCCCATCTTTGTGGATTTATCCACCTGTCGTCTTTGTAGTTGCTGACTTTCAGGTTGGGTCTCTGAGTGGACATCCAGTTTGTTGATAATGAAGTTATTTCTGTTTCTTAGCTTTCCTTCTAACAATCTGGCCCCTCTGCTGTAGGACTGCTGAGGTCCACTCCAGGCCCTGCTTGCCTGGGGATCACCTGCAGGTGCAGAACAGTAAGGGCTGCTACCAGTTTCTTTGTCTGCTATCTTTGTCCCAGAAGAATACCCACCAAATGTCAGTCTGAGCCCTCCTTTATGAGGTGACTCTTTCGGTATACAGGGGTCAGGGAGCTCTTTGAGGAGACAGTCTGTCCTTTATAGGAGCTCAAGTGCTGAGCTGTGGGCTCCGTTGTTCATTCAGAGCTGCTGTGTGATTTCCCGTGCGGTGACCCACTACGCTGGCTGAAACAGTGGTGCCAAGATTCGCGGCGCCGTGCTTTTTTGCCCGGGAATCTTCTGGCCTGGCTCGCTGTCTCAGTCCCCTTTTTAATCAGATGAATGGGTGACTCTGCCTTCCCAGAGCTCCATTCACCAGCCAAAAGGGTGCCCAGTCCCATGTATTTTGTATTGAGAACCACCACGCAGGGGCACCAGCAAGAAAGCCACACCCACCAAAAGAGTCACGCTGGCGACCAGTGGGGCACCTTCGTCTGGGAATCTCCTGGTCTGTGGGCAATAAAAATCCGTCTGGAAATGAGGCGTCCACTCACTCTCTGCGCTTTCACTGGGAGCTGCAATCCTGAGATGCTCCTAATCGGCCATCTTGGATCTCTCTCACCAAAAATCAGAACTTACATTTAAAGGGGAAGCAGAGCATAAAAGTGATAAATTTGTAGCCTGGCCATGTGGTAGAAAAGAAAAGCCCATTTCAAGGGAGGAATTCAGACAGGCTGCAGAAATTTGCTTAAGTAAAAAGGAAGCAAATGCTAATAGCCATGACAATGGAGAGAAGACCTGGAAGGCGTTTCAGAGACTTAACAGGTACGCCTCCCATCACAGGTCCAGAGGCCTAGGAAGGAAGAATGGATTTGTAAGCTAGGGCCAGGGTCAAGGCTCCACCACCTGGTGCAGTTTCATGACACTGTTCCCTGCATTCCAGCCACTTTAGCTGTAGCCATCACTCAAAGGGGCCCAGGTACAGCTCGGGCAACTGTTTTAGAGGGTGTTAGCCACAAGCCTTAGTAGCTTCCATGTGGTGATAAGCCTGCAGGTGCACAGTGTGCAAGAGTTGAGGCTTGGGAACCTCCACCTAGATTTCAGAAAATGTATGGAAAAGCATAGATGTTCAGGCAGAAGCCTACTGCAGGTGCAGAGCCCTCACAGAGAACCTCTACTAGGGCAAGGCAAAGGGGAAATGTAAGATTGGTGCTCCACATAGAATCCTCACTGGGGCACTGCCTAGTGGAGCTGTGAGAAGATGGCCACCGTCCTCCAGACCCCAGAATGGTAGATACACCAACAGTTTGCAACCATCACTTGGAAAAGGCACAGGCACTCAGTGCCAGCCAGTGAGAGCAGCGGTGGGGTCTGAACCCTGCAAAGCCACAGTGGTGGAGCTGCCCAAGGCCTTGGGAATACACCTCTCACATCACTGTGCTCTGGACTTGAGACATAGAGTCAAAAGATTATTTTGGAGCTTTAAGT